ATCCAATAAAAGTTTTCAACTTTCAAGTAACAAACTAAAAAAATGTCTTCGTATCTTAAGATCAATAAAAATCATAAAACCGTAAAATCAATAAAACCAAAACCATAAAACAGTAGATTAATTTTAAAAAAAAACACTTCAATCGCTTTCTTGATTGCATATGCTTTCTCTTCATCATCATCATTTTTATTGTCTACAAATAATAAGAAAAGTATATAAAACCCCAACCTTTTTAGCCGTTAAAAAAGAAACTTTAATCTTTTATCCGACAAAAAACTCTATTCCCTCCGTCCCAAATTATACGATGTTATAGGGGTTTTTTTGTTCCAAATTATTAGATTTTCTCAAATTTCTATGCATATTTATTTATAGTTAATTAAAAAGAATTGGTCAAAGAAGTTCAAAAGTCCCACGTATACACAAAATACAAAATCTGAAATTAAAAATGGAACAAAAAGAAACTAAATCGTGACAACAAAAAAGAAAAATAAAACCAAATCAGATGTTATGATTTGAATCTCAAATCTGTTCAAGATAGTTATTGAATTACATTTAAGAAAACAAGAAAGAATATACTTAGAAAAATGGCTATATGCATTTTCGTGTAATTTTTTCTTCTTTTTTGTATTGAGTTTAATTTGTTATTAAATGATGTTTTTGTAAAAAAAAATTTTTTTTTAATCTGTGCGCCTTTAAGCAGAAAATCTTATATTTTAAGACACAGGGAATAATTTTTAAAATACTCTAACATATATTAGTAAACTCATAGGATTACCTACGACCCTGATGGGTTTACTCACTAAACTATAGTAGCTGAGGTAATCCACTAAAATCTATTTATTTATGTAGGTAAAAATATTCAATCCAAATCCGCTAAAACTGTGGATAGGTTTAGGTAACCTATGAATATTTACCTATTTTGACACCTCTAATCGAGTTGACATAAATACAGTAATTGTTATTGTATCACACTTTAAAACTAAGAATTTATTTTTAAAACAATGGGCTTTTAATAGGCCCAATAAGTTTTAATAATGTGTTGCAAAACCCAAATAAGATCGACATTAACTCAAAAGAATCATACATATTACAATCCTTGGCTAACCGAACCCCTATTGTTCTTCACTTCTTCCAGTGATGTGTTTTGTTGAGATACCCATCTAGATATTTGGTTATGGCAAATTCTTTCCATGTTTTGCACCGCGCAGAAGAGAGAGATGAGCCACATTGCCTGCTCCTTTATCCTTAGAAGCAGACGTTCAAGAACTCATCTACTGCTAATCCAATACTAATCAGAAGTCGATCAACCTTTTTCTCTTAACAGCTCCTTTACAAACAGTTTACCATACACTGAGACCCTCTCAAACTTGTATTCCAAACCTATAAGCATTAGTTGATATTAATAGTACAGTCGGTTCAACCCGATTCAACCGTCAGTTTGTTTCATAAAACTATGGACTTATCACTGACTCAGTTCATTCACAATCTTCATGCTTCTTTCAGCAAGAGCGGAATTCATCACACTCATTTGCTTCGTTCCCGAGTGTTCAAGGGATTTGGTTCGGGCTCAAGTCGTGTATCCCATTCTTGAAGACGGGCGGCTGATTCTCAGGCGAGAATTTAGTTTCCAACAAAGCAGTTTTTGTTCATCATAAGCATTTGACAAAAGCCTTTAACTGGTCGTAATTTACCCATCAGCTTCCTTGGATCAGTTTGAGATCACAAACTGTTTCTCCTTTGACAACACAGGAATGCAGAGCAAAGCATTAAAAAACCAACCTTGGGTTGTGCCCACAAGCTTACGCAGAGTGTAAAAATGGAGAGATGTAACACAGATTCAGAAGCAAAAATCCCTTGGCAAAATGATGTGATTTCACGAACAAAAGAC